TTTTAGACATTCATAAAAGAAAATGGGAACTTCTGTTCTTGATTTTCTTGACGGAGGTAGTATAAATATACTTCGAAAATCATATAACCCAATATAAATAAAAAAGTATTAAATTTCATTATAACTGCCCTCTTAAATATATTGAAAAATCATCCATCACACAGTTTATCAAGCATAAAAGGGGAACTATTTGAAGCATTAACACTTGAACTTTCTCCGAAAATGTGACTTTGATTGTGTGGTCGTCGTGATTTTCCTTTATAATAGAGAGTATCTTAATATCATTGTTTAATCATGAACTGTAGTACTATACATACTATAAAGAACAACTTTTTTAAAACGATAACATTGAACTATTCATTTACAAAGATGAAATTAATTACATAAAGTAGAATGAACTAACAAAATTAGCAAAATATACAATTGTAGTGAAGACTTTAATTAGCAAGCTAGCTAAGATAGGAAAATAGCAAATATTACGTGGGATAAGTACATGGGATGGCAGTGATTTTTAATGATGCCATTATATCATTAAAATAAATATTACAAATATACGTTACGTAAACTAAAATGGATAAAGGTGCGGGCCTGAATTTAGCTTAGTTAATGCAAAGCCTGATTTTAGTTAGGAAAAATTGATAGTAATAATCGCAACTATTGGCGGTCTGCTCATAATAATCCCAATTATTGATTATTCAAGAATAATCCCAACTTTAGGGACCTTCCGCCAATAATAGTCCCTATGAATAAATTCTTGTAGTTTCTAAAGTGGATGAGATGAGATATAACAAGTAATCCCTATAAATAATCTCAACTTTTAATTTTTATGCTTAATTTCTATTTAAAATTCACTTTTTATAGAGGTAATATATGGTCATGGACCATTATTGGCGGATAGTCTATATAGTTGGGATTATACAAAAATAATCAATAGTTGGGATTATTTTCAGCGGATCGGCAATAGTTGGGATTATTGTTTTCAATTTTTCCTTTTAGTTAATATACAAATCAAATCTATTATTGAGTTAATTGAGTTGATATTATTAAAGTAAACCGACTCCAGTATATATACAATTGTCCACCCATTTTTTCAGAATTGAGTTAATAAAAATTAATTGGGGATTGGGGGCATGATTTTTTTAGAAAATCTCCTTTTGTACACGTTTTTATACCCATCAGTACACGCATGTGTCTGTGGGAGTTATTTTTTGTCTGTGAAGCGCAGTCCACAGACAAAAGCTGACTTGTTTTGTCTGTGGAATATTTTTCACAGACACAAAATAACTCCCACAGACACATGCGTGTACTGATGGGTATAAAAACGTGTACACCAAGAATTCTTCATTTTTTTATTGGGGGCACTAACTTTTTTTAAATAATATATGTATTTACATAAAAAAAAAGTAATTGATCTAAATAGGAGTAAAATAATGAAAAAGTTTCCAAATAGGAGTGCTTATTGATTTATTGCTCAAATATGAGTCATTTATACCCCTATTTATTACTCCGTATTTCCCCAGAATGCAACCCCATGCCTCTGGATTCTGAATCTGCTCTGCTGCTCCATTATCTCTCCTTTCTCGGTGTAATCCCGATCCATCTCCCCCTCTTCTAATTAATATCACTATATCAGTACTCTCTCCCTTGCAATTACAGAGATTAATTTGATTTCTCGATCATTAATGGGTAAGTATCGATTCTTATTCATATCTTTCTCCTCCTCCACCTCCATCTCGTTCTCCAATTTTTCTTTTTCAGAAATTTGTTTCAATTGTTCTTTCTTTTTTTAATTTTTATAATTGATTTCAATCAACGTGTTGCTAAATTTTCAAGTCAGTTTTCCGATTGAATCTATAAAGGTTCCAGAAAATTGTCTCTTTTTCAAGAAAAAGCGAAACATAAAACCGAAATACAAAAATGAGAAGGTCAGAAAATAATACGTATTTAAGATAACAGTGATGGAATTAATGTTATAAAATCTGAAATAATAATGCAATCTTAATTGATAAAGCCAGTGATGGAATTAATGTCATAAAATATTTGCAAAAGATGACACTAGTACTATATTTGCAAATGAGTAATATTGCCATGGAATATTGTCACTAATTGTCAAAATAACAATCTTGATGAAATTTAATGCCATAAAAATGACTCGAAGTGTCAAAATAACACTTCCGTAGGAAAACACACACTATTTGTACTTTATTTATAAACAATAATATTGTCATCCTTAAAGAGTTAGTGTAATATACGAAGTAAATGACATTATTTGTCAAAATGGCAATTAATTTTCATATGAAAAATAAGATTATTAGTATTGTATTTTTTACATGAATATTATTGCCATATTATTAAAACCATAAAAAATATTTTTTTTTCAAATGATACTTGAAATTAAAATTAGTGAATACGGGAAATCCAGAAGCCGACATTTTCTTTAGATTTGAGATTGGCTAAATTGGCACTGTACCATGCGTTGGAAGTGAAATTATTTCCACAGGTGGTGACACCATTTGAGGAGTTGGTGCCAGTGGCAGGGAGAGCGGAGGAGATAGTGGCGGCTGCCGCTGGCAGGGTTGTTGCAGGCTACGTGTATTCAGTGGCGGACCCAAAAAATCAGAGTCACGGGGTCCCTACTCTAGTAACTCTAATTAATAAAAAATTAATAAAAATGAAGTAAAATATTGTAGTAGTATAACATTTCATAGTTAACGTACATCACCAAAATATTAAAGTAGCATAATGTTTCACAGTCCCAAAGTTGAAACGGGACTTTTGAAGGTAATTATGGCGCACCTCGTCTTGAACATTAGGATGCAAATTTGATTTTTTTTCTCTATACAAGATCAACTCCCAAATATTCAAAATAAACATTTTGGCCATGTAGCTTATTAGCACTGTTCTAAAAATCGACCTAGTCAGACCAATTAATCGGCCTAATCGGTCCTAACTATAGATGACTAATTAGCTAAGTCGGTCAAAACTTTGTCCTAGTCATCCGCCTAGGCACTCAACCGTTCGACTAGCCCCTAACAAGTTTTAGAACAATGATTGTCAGTAATTTTAATTTCACATTCAACGATTATTTGATCCAACTCTTCATATAATAATGGTGAACCATTTGAATTAACGTTCGAACTAATCTCGGTGCTCCAAATTTCTTTAAATGTGGGCACACTATCGAAATATCTTTTCATCCCAAATCGTAATATATTGATATAACATTCGATCAAAAATATCATAAATTTAATAATTCAATCTGAACATTCGGTCTGGCCGACCGAACTGGGCGTCCAGCTCTCTAATGGTCGTCTGGCGGCCTCGCAGCGCTGTAGTCATGGTCTCGTGGAGGAAGGGTCAAGGTCCGTTATGACTCGTGTGTTTACGGTCGAGTTCTGAATCGGGAAGATTGATTATAGTGGAGGTTTGCGTGGATTCAGGGTTAGAGAGTTCTTTTTAAATGCCGAAAAAGCATAGGTTTGATTTTTGCAATAATAAAAAAGAAAAAAATTACCTTTAAAAAAAATCAGAAATTTAAGGGTGCGAAGAAGAAAGCCAAGTAGGTTTGGGTCCAAAAGAGCTCTCAAAATATCTCCAATCAAGAGTTCAACAAGAAATTAAAAAAAAGGCTAGAAAAACTAAGAGCCATAAGGGAATTGATCCCTGAACCTCTGGGAAGCAAGGAACGCTTCATCAAACGCCAAAACAACCATTCCTCCAGACCAACTTTCGGTAATTGTAGTGGTTTGTTATGTATATGTAACTTTACTGGAAAATTTTATATAAAATATAATATATATATATATATATATATATATATATATATATATATATATATATATTATATTAAAAAATATATATATGTATATATATATAGAGGAATGTTCAGGTCCGAACATTCCTGGTCCGAACACCGTCCGAACATCCTCATTTGGGGCCCTTCCTGGTGGATTTTTTTGATGCAAATTTTTGAGCATGTTTCTCATCAAGTCTAGTTTGTCCATACCAAATTTCAGCTCAAAATTCGATCGGGAAGGCATTCAAATGATTTTTTGAAATTGACTGCGTCAAAATATACATATAAAAACGCAGTCAACTTCAAAAAATGATTTGAATGCCTTCCCGATCGAATTTTGAGCTGAAATTTGGTATGGACAAACCAGACTTGATAAGGAACATGCTCAAAAAATTGCATCAAAAAATTCCACCGGGAAGGGCCCCAAACGGGGATGTTCGGACGGAGGATCCTGTCCGAACGTTCGGACAAGATCATTTTTGTATATATATATATATATATATATGTATTTTTTTTAGGTCCACGGGTCCCGGGACCCCATGGGACCCTTAGTGGGTCCGCCTCTGCGTGTATTGGTGGCTGTTACACATTTGTTGATGGCGGGGGAGAAAGTCACGATCTCCCTATGTCGTTTGAGTGTCTGCTTAATTTTCTTATTTGTGATTTTGTTTTATATATTCCCACAGGGTAAATCTGTCTCACCATATCTTTTTACTCCTATCGAACTATACGAAACATTAAATTTTTAAAAATACAGGTGCACCATTGCACCAATATATGTACAAAGACATGCATAAATATTTACGGAAAATAACAGATTTATATTAAGAAAAATATGAAATCTTAATAGATAACAATGCAATTTTATTATTAAAATACTGTCTGCCTGTCTGCCTAATTGTTTAATCAATAGTCAATACATCCTTTTGAATGAAAACCATAATTTTTTTCAAAATGGAAGACTTTCAGGCTTTGTTTGCAACCACTTGTGCTTAAATAAAAATACTTTTTGAGAAAAAGTGATTAGTAGTAAAAGTTGGTAGTGTTTAGTAAAATAAGTGCTTTTTGTGTAATAGAAAAAGTAAAAAGTAGATTCTACACGAAAACCGAGATAGTAAAAGTTGATAGTGTTTGATAAAATAAGTGTTTTTTTCTTAAAAAAAAAGTCAAAAGCACTTATAAATAGAGTTTGCAAACGGAGCATTCTTACCGCAAACACCTTGCCCAAGGGCGATGGGAGTTGTTTTTTATTAGCCACTGGGCAGCCAAATCTGATTATTACTGACTTTGACTTTTACACGCCGGAGTTTTATGGCCGGGCTTTTGAGAGTGGCTGTGATCGGGGCCGGCGTGGCGGGGCTGGCGGCTGCGCGCGAACTGAAAAGAGAGGGCCACCGGGTCGTGGTCTACGAAAAGTCCGGCCAACTGGGAGGAATATGGGTTTTCAATCCTGAAGTCGAGTCCGACCCATTGGGCCTTGACCCAAACAGAAAATTAGTCCACAGTAGCATCTACGGATCTCTGCACACCAATCTGCCCAGACACTTGATGGGCTTTTCCGATTACCCATTCACCGTGACGGAGAACGGGAAGCTTTCCAACTTTCCCGGCCACCGGGAGGTCCTTCAGTTCCTCGCCGAGTTCGCCGCCGAGTTTGAATTCACCGCGCTGGTCCGGTTCAATACCGAGGTAATCCGAGTTGAGCGGATCGGCGGTGGTTCTGATGATCAGTGGGCCGTTGACTCGAGAACGCAGGAGTTGACTTCGGAGGTAGAGGTGTTTGATGCTGTTGTAGTTTGTACGGGACATTATACGCAACCCAAATTAGCAGAACTTCCCGGTAAATATTTCTTCTTCATTTAATTTTCTATGTACTTCTATTAAATTTTATTAATTTTCCTTTTTTTATTCATTGTTTAAAAATAGTTAAGATTATTTTGTGATCGGATCGTAGAACTTTGTCGTTGGAATTACTATGACAATCGAAGAAAAGATCACAGAGACGAAACTTATCTTACTAAAAGAAATAATTATTTAATTAAAATAAATATTTGAAAACACATCGAATAGTTAAACTAAAAACTTCTATTTTAGAACCAGGGAGTATATATAAATATGTAATATAAACTTCACTTCTTTTGAGGTAATATCACTAGTAGCGCTCCTCAATGAAAGTCATTAAAATTAGCATTGACATCCAGTAGAGAGTCCACAAATGTTTTCAGTCTTCCACACTATGGAAGTAGTGAAGACCAATATGTATAATAGAAGTGATGATTAGTTTTTGATTGTCTATTTGTTATTGAAAAGATGCCTTTGAATCTGTTACAAAATACTCCATAAGTGTTATGGATTTTATCTTCCAAAAGAACAATTCTTGCTCTTCTAAGGAATAATTTAGTTACTCTGCCCCTAACATTTTTCCCTAAACCCGTCATGGAACACAACAAAATAATTTTCACATATTCCATACTAGTTTTCAAGCCCGTGCGATGCACGGGCAGAACGTAATTTAGTTAATTTTAAATGTCTTTTTTTAAAAAAATTGATAGTGGAATAAATTTATATTAATAATTAAAGTTTTTCATTGACACTATAATATATAAGAATAATACTAAATTGATTATTTTACTTGATTCTGACCGTTTACAAATATTATTTTATTGCAACACACATCTTAACATATAGGACTTAATAGAAAAAAGTAAACAACCCTTCAATTTAATATATAGCTCGTTTGGTAATAATAAAATTGATTGAATTGACTGATTATGTTGAAATTGATTAAGTTCTCTCTGAATGAGATCGATGCATAATTATTTTATACTTTTAATAGTGTGAAATTCAAATAATTTGTCAGATTGAGAAATTTGCACAACTGAATTTACGATTTTAATTTCTATACCTTGTTTATTAACTTTATCAGATTTCAAATAAAAACGAATGTCATAAAACTTTAGTGATTTTAGAGAATTTTCTCAAAAAACTCAATGTGACATATTAAAATAGATAGACGTACTACATTACTTTATACGTAGTATATCTTAGTGAAAGCACCTTATGTAATTATGCATCTCGTATCACAAATTATGTGTACCATTAATATAATGTCATGACAATATACTCCAGTTTTCACTCTGAAAAAAAAGTACTCCAGTTTTCTTTAACTTGTACTCCGTACTATCATAATAATCTCTTTACATGTAAGTCAGATTTTAATTTCTATACCTTGTTTATTAACTTTACGTGTTTATACTTTATAGGTTTTTTTTCCTTTCCGGTACGTGTTGACGTGCACTTTGTCGTGAGTGCACTCAAAGTAATATTCAATACAACACTTATACGTAGTATAGCGTAGTAGAGTTCGTATCCACAGGGAAAGGAATAACTTTCTTTTTATATAAATAAAAAAAAAGGGGGGAGTTTTGATTGTTGAGTGATTTAATTAAATTAAACACGAAGATGAACGATTTATATGGGATTTAATTCAAAGATAAAATTGACTTGGTATTGCTACTTTCCACTTGTTGATATATTTTAGTCGATCATTGTTATATCTATAACTTATCTCCTCTCGAATACTCAATCGAGGAGTATATCCAATTCATCGAGGATAGTTATTAACAACGACCGTTCATTAATAACCCTTACTATTAGTCAAGTATAGAACAAGCGCCGTATACCGACTTGATAGTAGCATTTAATCGCTTAACTCCTTGATGAAATCAATTGAGATCGATAACCTCAACACAAGCGGTTTTGGTTTAACCAACACAATTAATTCCTCTTAGGTCTATTAACCACAACCGTGCATTAATAAACCGAAGTTACTTACTTGTGAAACCGTCAACGATTAACCATCGGTTCGTTGATCGTTTCTAGTAGTAATTAATATTTGAAACAAAACTAGTTGATCCTTTAAGTAATGTTCAAAAATATTAATATGAAATATGAATAGGAATTAATTAATACTCAAGGAAGAATATTAAGGAAAATGAATCCTACTATAGTTAATATCAAGATGTTAACTAATTGTCATCTTAGTAACACTCCCCGATATTAACATAGAGGAAGGAATAGCTATTACTAAAACCAATGTCAAGATGTTAACTAATTGTCATCTTAGCAACACTCCCCAACATTGATATAGAAATAGTATTTAAAGGAAGAATTAATATTCAAGGAAAAGAAGTTAAGAAAATAACTCACAACTTTAATAATCAACAAGCTTCAAGAGCAATACCAAGAAATGGAAGTTTAGCTCCTCATTTGGAGACTAAACATGCTAAAAGAAATATAAAGAAATGCTATTCTAAACTGAGCTTAAGAGTGTATATGAATTGGTCTCCTGAAAGTGAAGGAAAGGAGGTGTATTTATAGGCTTTTTGAGGTGTAGGTCGAGTACTCGATCGAGTATATATACATACTCGATCGAGTATGTGTAGAACATCGAATTCGCCCTATACTCGATCAATACTCGGGTAGTTTTTATAGCTATACCCGATCGAGTATATAAGTATACCCGATCGGGTATAGACACTCGAACGTGGGAAAATCTTCTCCTGCATGTTCCTTTGTTTTCGGATCCGATCCGATTTGAAATGTCAACCAGATACCCGATCGAGTATATGTATATACTCGACCGAGTATAGACCAAAATCAGGATTTTTCCTTCTTTTTGTCTTGTACTCTTGCACCTTCCTTCACCATTGACCATTTGATTGATCTTGGACCTGTTTAAGCTCAGAATAAACCTAATCTAAACAAATTACAAGAATTTAACAAACTAAACTATTACACCGAAAGTGTGTAATTTCCGAAATATTAAACAATCAAAACTAACTAAAAGCGTAAATAAACATACGGAAATTACAAACGTATCACGTGTATCCTTAAAAATTATAGCAAATTTTCTGAACTTTTTTCTTCTTCAAGTAAGTAACATTCATCTCAGAGAATTACTTGAGAATATAGTACTTCCAAAGGGTCTTTAACTAATTGCACTCATCAATATCAAGATCTATGTACACCATGCTTGAGGGGATGTTGATAAACATAAATTTCCTGCACAATTAGAACAAATTTACTGAATATTGAAGAGGCAATGCACATGATATTATCACAAAGAAGCCAATATATGCACAATGGAATTTGAACTGTTAACTTTATTATTGTGATTACTTACCATTATAGTCTTTAACTATAGTAGAGGTAACGACTATCACAAAATGTTTTGTAGGCTCATCCAGTTTATTTCGTTGTTTGGTAAGGTGATCAATGCATTGACCCCATAGTCTTACTTTGATGTGTTTCGCTCTGCATGGTAACAAAAGTGAGTACATGTGATTGGACGTTACTTGAATTTTGTAGGATAAAAAACTATATAATTAGTAAATAGATATGAAACATACCACTGGTCTTCTATTTCAATAGTTTCACATCCATTAGGATCATAATCGTACACAACCATGCAAACCACATCTGCAAGAACAATATTTAGTGGTATAAATTGATTATAGAAATATAACACCAATATAATATTTAGTAACAATATTTTTTCATACCAGTCAAACGATATTTACTCTCAAGACGACTCTTTAAATTGTTGAAAGATACGAAGTCAAATTTATAATTCGGCACTTCAATTGCTTCTCCTTTGACTTCTTTGATGACAGTGTTATGGAAGAATTGTAGCATGATTTTATTATCGGATACAACACGATACTCTTCTTTATTTGGAACCACTGAGAAATATTTTATGATGTGTATCATTCCTTCCTTTATTTTGGGACGTAATGTATGAACATATCCACTTCTTATAGATGCATGAACATAATTACCCTGCGACCACAACAAAATACCATTAGTTTTTTTTCTAAAACAGGTTCATTTAAAATTGGAAATTTAAGAAAAAGCATACCTCTTCATCGATCAGAATCGTGTCTAGACAAATTAAGCTTCTTTTGCCTTTTGTGATTGATGACATCACAGAGACGTGTAACACGAACTTTGATTGTCTAGTTGGACTTGGATGTATCAAGCTGACGTATTAGAAAATAACTTCTGCATTTTATGGAATATTAATCAATCAAGTATAATTCATAATAATATCATGTATCATAAACATGTGAATGGTAAAGTATTATATGTACATAGTATTCAATAATATATCATTAAAAATGTTGTAGAAACTTACGGTGATAACATTCTTGATATAAGAACACTAAACAATAGAATTCTTCAAACTAAGGAGAAAGTCAATAGTGAAAATACACTTTTCTTTTCATTCTCTTTGTATTTAAAATAGCTTACATATGCACAGTAGGTAGTTTTTATGTTTCTAATTCTAAATTTAGAAACATAAAATATACTAAAAGTTTACTCCAAAATTACATAGCTTTAGATTTAGAAACTTAAAATATACTAAAAATTTATTCTAAAGTATGAAATTAGAAATTAAAAGATGATGAATAAAATCATCTTTAAATTACGTAGCTTTAGATTTAGAAACTTAAAATATAGTAAAAGTTTATTCTAAAGTATGAAATTAGAAATTAAAAGATGATGAATAAAATCATCTTTAAATTACGTAGCTTTAGATTTAGAAACTTAAAATATACTAAAAGTTTATTCTAAAGTATGAAATTAGAAATTAAAAGATGATGAATAAAATCATCTTTAAATTACGTAGCTTTAGATTATTATTATTACGTAGCTTTTTTATTCTAAATCAGATTTATAAGAGTGTCGAATAAAATCAGATTTTATACAAATATGAGTTACCAAATAAGATGTGATATAAAAGGTAAAAAAATTAAAAGATATAGCAAGTAATTAAATATTAAATAATAGTTATATATGATGACATGGCAGGATTATGTGGCACTCCGTATGCTCTTGAAAAGTTCCTCTTTTATATATATATATTGATTTCCATTTGTCACCATTTTAGGTTCACAAACAATATCCATGCCACTAAAATAGCTCTCACAGACTCGTAGTTTAATAGAGTATATTTTTGTCATATTTGAATTAGAGTCCTGAAACTTTTGGGGTTAAATAAACAGAAACTGTGCAGGATTTTGTAAATACTACCTCCGTCCCTTATTAAACTTCCAAATAGGTTTGACACAAAGTTTAAGATAGTGGGTATTGTGTGGTGGAGTGTTATGCAGAGGAGAGAGAAATCTGTAAGAATTGCTGTGAACCACAAATTCTGGCCAAAAAGGGAAAGTGGAAGTTTTAATTGGGACGGACGAAAAAGGAAAGTTGGAAGTTTATTTAGGGACGGAGGGAGTATATAATTTTCAATTATTAATACTGATATGATTGTTACTCGATACTTAGTATTAATTATTGAAAGATGAATGGGGAACTTTGAAATCGGGTGAATGGAACATTTATCTTCATATCAGAGTTGGCCAAATTTTACAGAGGTGGAGTAAATTAAAGGATTCTTATGTTATAAAGTGTGTATGAATTATTGAGATGTTTTTTTGGTTCGCAAGGCATCGAAAAATGGCATGGGAAACAAATTCATAGCCACAATTACAGAGATCCGGAGCCATACAGGAATCTTGTAAGTTTAAGTTCCTTTTCCTTTTTTATGGCAAAATGAAAAGATAGAAATAATATATCCGTAGGTTTCCGTGATACTCGGAAAGTAGGAGCATATATATATACATGTGTTATACTCCGTAACATATACGGAGTACTTCGTATATAACGAGTAGTTAATTCGGCGATATTAAATCTCACACTTTAGGAAAAAATGTCTCATTTTTTTCTTTCAAAAATGAAGTATACTCGTATTTATTATGTAGAAAATTCATACCCGTTTCTATTTGCATTTATATATCTACTAAAGAAAATGTTTCAAAGAAGATTTTTTAATATTTAGTTCTATTTGAAAGTAATTATTGAAAAATTTATGTATTTCTCACTACAAAAAAACAATGAATCAGCGACGCAAATAGCAACGGGAAAATCATGTGATTCCGTCGGAAACAAAATCAGCGACGGAGACTGCTACGGAAAATTTTCGTGGGAATACGGCGGTTGGAAAAGTTGCGACGGATATCTGCTACGGATTTTTAAAACACCGACGGATTAGAGGCGGAAATAACCGTCTCTATTAGTGACGGGAATAACCGTCACTATATTTTCCATGAATAAATTAATATAATAATTATACCCACGGTTATTTCCGTCGGATGTATACCAACTAAATAAAATGCAATTCAACGAGAGAACATTAGAATTTAGAACCCATTTCAAATACCCAATATGTGCATATACAAAACACAATTTCTACACAATCTAACCGCACAATCTAACATATTACGCAGTATGAAAAATACACCAAATATTTTACTTCGAAGATTTCAATCTTATATGCTAATTTTCGGACTTACTCCGTATTTACATAGAACACAAGTAATATAACAAAAATATTAATCATTGTAAAGTTATATTTACACAAATAGAGTATCTATGCACAAGAGCTCGGAAAAACAAAACTGCCAAGGATTCTGGAGTTTGTTGGGAGACTTCCGTGGAGGGGAACTTGAGGTTGAAAGGCTTCAATGGCGGACACCAATTTGAGGTTGGGCGGCTTCAACCGTGGACAACAATTTGAGTTGGGCTGCTTCGGCAGTGTAGAACGATTTGAGGTTGAGTTGCTTCGGCGGTGTAGAAAGATTTGAGGTTGGACGGCTTCGGCGGTGGGCAGCCATTTCAGGTTGGGAGGAATCGAGAGTAGGGAACAGTTTGAAGTTGGGATCTAGGCTACGATAGCTTGCGGGGATTCAAGATTGTGGATTTGGGAGGTCTCGTCGGCGGGCAACCATTGGAGCTCGATCGCATGGAAGACTTTGAAGACTAGAGTGCTTTGATGTTGGGAGGATTTCTTCTAGGAGAAATAAATGTGTGGACGATGTTGTGTAGATAAGGATGAGTCTCCCAATAGAAATAATTGAGAAGAGGGACAAAATGGTCAATTTAAGAAATTACCAACGGATAAAATCGTCACTAACTCGTTTGAGATTCAGTGACGGAAAAGTCGGTCGGTAAAATGGTTGTTTTTTCGTTACAAATTAACGACGGATTTTCGACGGTTTTCTGATGGTTCCGTCGGTAAGCCGTTGGTAATTCCGTTGGTAATTTCTGACGGTTTTAACCGTCTCCAAATATCCCTCGCAATATCCATGTTTTTTTGTAGTGTCTATTTCTTCATGATGTTTTTATATGTTACTCTAGAAAAGTTTCCATGTAAAATGTGTTTGAATAAACATCTATAATTTGTTGATTTATTGAGGACATAAAAGTCAAAAGAGTCCTACTATTTTCAATCTATCACTCGAGCCCTTCTACTAAAAAAATCATCATATAAGTATGCTTACTTTTAAATACAACCAATCAAGCAATTTTGTTCTGCTATAGCAGGTTTTTTTATATTAAAAACTCTGAAAAATTGTTAAAATGTGAAGAAATATCGATAAAATTGTGAAAATCTTCAGAATGTCAAAGTCAATATTTTTGAATTTTTAAAATTATTTGTATATTCTACATGTATTGAATAGGTTTTATTTGTATGTTCACTTTACTTTTTCAAATATCTCATTTTTAATTTTTTTTATTTTAATAATTTTAAATTATTTATCTATTTTTACACTTATGCATTTTTCAAATTTATTTTAACATTTTTATCTTTTTATTATATTATTTTTCAAATTTAATTTGTATAAGATTTATCAATAGTCCTAATTTACTTTTAAAAAAATACTCTGTAATATGTTATAGCAAGTCAAAATGGCTTTGATTGATTGTATTTAAAAAGTAATCGTACTTATACGATGTTTTTTAGTAGAACGATTTTAGTGATAAAGTGTAAATAGTATAAGGGTCTATTTAACTCTTTTCCTTTTATTGAGTGATGCATTATTTTTCCTACACTTAAATTCTTTAAAATTTCCACCTATATTCTCCAACCTTTTTTCCACCCCTAAGCATATCTGAATTTCTGAGTTTCTAATAGTGTTGGTGTTATATATGGACAAAGCAGGTTGTGGTTGTGATAGGAAATTCTGCAAGTGCTTATGATATCTCCAATGACATAGCCACAGTAGCAAAAGAAGTTCATCTATCATCAAGATCAAATGATGCTAAAGTTTCCAGATCTGATGGTTCTCAAAACGTGTGGCACCATTCAAAGGCATCATGAATCATGACTTAACCTCCCCACTTTATTATTTATTTATTTGTTTTTTTATTTGTTGATATTCATTTATCTATTTATTATATATGATGCTTTTGAAATATGGATCACTCAAAATCTTTCGGTTATTAATTATATCTAGGTTGACCATGTTAAGGAAAATGAAGTAGTTTTTGAAGATGGAGGTTCAATTTATGCAGATATTATTCTTCATTGTACGGGGTATGATTTCGATTTGACATTTGTAATTGGATCAATTTCAGTTCCAGATCGTATCACATTTCGATTTGACATTTGTAAAATACACATATTGCAAACATCTATCAGAAAAGAACAAATTGACCAGAACAACAGATTAAGTTCAATTAAAAAATCTTTACTCCATCTATATTTTCTTATGTGTTGCACATTTTTTTATATTAAAACTTTCAAAGGATTCTTTAAACTTGTATTCTAAACAAATTTCAAAAGAAATGATTATTATATTTTGAGTTTATTTGTAAATATTTTATACTAAGTACTCCGTATTATTTATTTTAATAAAAATAACGATGTCAAACAAAATATTAGTAACTTTTATGGATTATGATTACATTATAAATATTACATTGTAGTGACAATAACATTACACTCATAGTAACTTTTGTCACATTTTTGTACGTAGTACATGCTTTAATGTCAGTAATATTTTAGTAGAAAAAACCTCTACTAAGAACTATAAATTATATACACACTGAAACATACACAACACATATAGATATTGAGTGTTTTAAATACCTTTTAATTAAATGAATTGACAGAATAAATTGTATTCATTAAAATAAATATGTATGTTTAGAGCTTAGCTTGTTTGGCAATTGTCCCAATCCTTCGTGTTTTCATCTTACTATTACCGAGTATTGAAATTTTGATAACACACATTAATTACTACGTATGAAGTAATCAAAATAAGCAAGTTTCAACTTATGGAATATTTTGGATTCATTCATATACTATACGTTTCTTTATGTTTTTGATAAAATATCTTTTAAATACTTTTTTCATGTTCCAATAAATTTTAGTTTTACTTCTAAATTTCATTAGTTTAACCGATTTAATTGTTACAAAACAGACTGTGAAATGGTGAAGATTGAGTTCATCTTTGTTTTTTCACCCTAGCATCTCAACAACTAATTTAATCCAAAACCCTTTATTAGAAGGCTTTATTAACTTGCAATATTAGAATTCCTATTAGCTAATCTAACAGGCAAAAAAAAGATAAAACAAGGATACCAGCTCCTCCGTCTTTGGGATGATAAAACAATTAACATGTATTGAAAAGTCTAGCAAAAAAAGAAACTTTTCATCAAAAAAAGACCTTTTGATTTATTGGAGGCTTTGGCTGTTTTCCAGGTTTAAATACGCATTTCCTTTCCTGAAAACGAATGGGATTGTAAATATTGACGACAACCGCGTCGGACCGCTGTACAAGCATGTCTTCCCGCCGGAGCTTGCCCCGAGGCTCTCCTTCATAGGAATACCTTTTTGGGTATCATTTCTTTACATAATTTCTATTAAATACCAGTAGATTTAATTGGCTTTTGTGTTAAAGGAAACTACGGGGCTGTGAACATGGGAGACAAAATCACGGGACTTCACTTTAGGATACAAAAACAAGAGACTGGGAAGTGCCATTCCAAATGATAGATTTGAAGCTCTTTCCATTCGGAATTCCCATTTCCAGATCAATTAAATGCTTGTTTAAATCCCATTCAGAATCCCCACTTCCAAATCCCATTAAATGTTTCTTTAAATCCCCATTTTCAAATCCCATTAAATGTGCTTTTAGGATGTTTTTACTTGGACTGTAATTTGCCCAGACCAGACCAGACCAGATCACTTCAGACCAGACCAGTTCAGACCAGACCAGACCAGACTTGGATAGTTATAAAAATACAAAGAAACCAGACCTTACCAGACCAGACCAGACCAGTCCAGACCAGACCAGATCAGACCAGACCAGACCAGCAAATTACAGTCCAAGTAAAAACATCGTTATTATTCTGAATCCCCAATTGAGAAAAAATAACAAAATAAAATGTAATGTTGCTCCAATTCGAAATATCCTTTTTGTAATGGGGAAAAACAAACAAATCAACCCATTCAACTCATTTCCCATTGTGATAATAAAATAAAATAAACCAAGTCGCATTTTAAGTAGATACATTTTAATCAGATATCTATAATAAAATTTAAACAGATAAATCACATAAAATTTAATCAGATAAAACTCATCAGATAAAAATTCATTAGATAAGAGTACTGCATTGTATTAATGAAGTATTACATTTTTAGATGTTTTAATACTATTATACTAATAATGCATCGGAAAAGTTTTAATCAGATAAAAATTCATCCGGTAAAACTAATTAGATAGGATTTCATCGAACACACCTACACACTTTAATTCTCTTTCAAATAGAAACTTTAATCTCAACCCACCCCTGGCATCTCTGCCACCCTAATGTCATTCCAAATGAGTAAAAGGCAAAAAAAAAAAACTTGAACCCATTCCACATGCCATTCGAGCCATTCATGATGACCGGACATGGAGTCATTTTTTTCGTATCGCTTTAAATGAGTACGAAGAATTGCAAATTTTCGTGGATTCTATAAACAACTCCATAGCAACGCTACAAAATTTGATTTCGACGATGTTCCTACAAATATTGTAGGAACTTATTATTGTATGTGCACACATTTATTAGTAAATTAATTTTTAGAACATTTTTTTCAGTTGCTTTCAGAAAATAAAATAATTACATGCGGAGTATTTAAAAAAACAATTTCATTGAATAAATTTAATTCAAAATATATTTTTTAGGAAATGGTATGTGTCTACAAAAAGTAAAAAAAGTAAAAAAAAAAAAACAAATTATTTGGAATTGGAGAATGGAATGGGTTTTAAAAAAATCCCATTTCCTATTTGGAATTGCCGTTTCCAATTAGCACCAAGTCTAAAGAAAACCCTAATTCTATTTGGAAATGTCATTTCCAACTCACGTGATCCTAGAAACCCTAGCAAAAGTCCTATGTTTTGACACTTGGTGTTGCCTTTTCCCGTGTTTATAGAAATCACCCAGGAAACTATATTACTAAAAATGCTTAATTGTGTCAAACAGGTTATTGTATTTGGTATGATGGAATTACAAGCTAAATGGGTAACACAAGTTCTAAGTGGGAATGCCCTTCTTCCTTGTAAGGAGGAGATGCTGGCTGATGTAGAAGCACATTATAAGCAAATGGAGGAAAATGGAATTCCCAAGCACAAGACTCATTCTCTTATTAATATGGAGGTTTTTCGTTATTATTATTATTATTATTATTATTATTATTATTATTATTATTATTATTATTATTATTATTATTATTATTATAACTATTCTATGATAATTTTATGTTATTTTGTATGATATCATACCTCGTCACTTTATGTAATGCCACGCAATATCTACTCCACCTACTCTGCATTTAAGTACCTAATTTGAATTCGTTCATGGTTTTTTTGAGAGGTAAGTGTCAGATTAGTACTCCAAGTTGCATAAAAAGGGTTAAATAAGTCCTTACTGTCCGGCCGTCACCATTTGGGGCGGTTCCCGGTGAAATTTTTTGATGAATTGTTTTGAGCATCTTATTCATTATGTCTAGTTTACACATACCAAATTTCAGTTAAAACTTCAATCGGGAAAGCATTCAAATGAATTCTTGAAAGTAATTGCCCTTTTAACTGCCCAGTTATCTTCAAGAATTCATTTGAATGCCTTCCCGGTTGAATTTTTAGCTGATATTCGGTAGGAGTAAACTAGACTTAATGAATAAGATGCTCAAAATATTTCGTCAAAAAAATCCCCCGGGAACCGCCCCAAATGGCGATGGTCGGACAGAACCTCTTATATAAGGACTTATTTGACCCTTTTTATGCAACTTCGAGTACCAATCTAACGCTTACCTCGTTTTTTAGGTAAACATAACTTTTTATTGACTTTTCATGCATACCCTCCTTCCTCAAAAATATGCAAGTGAAATCTTTTTAATGATATGTTTTTCATAAGGGTAAAATCGTCTTTTACCATTCAAATATTACCAAAAATTTTGTAACTTACTTTTGTCATCTCTCAAAATATTATACTACATCTATATATCCCATTACTTTTGGAAATGAGGAAGTGACACATTTAATAATTGTAAATTGTAATTATGTGGTTGATGCTAAGTTTGTGAGTATAGATGGATGAATTAGAACTACATAGATATTATCAAATATGATACTCCATCCGTTCCATTTTACTTGTCTTACTTTTTTTTGGGTTGTCTCAAAATAATTGTTACCTTTCCCTTTTTGGAAAGAAATATGTGGTTCACAACATTTCACTTTACTATACTCAAATCTCAACCACAACGTTTACATTTTCAACCACTTTATTAAAAATTGTGCCAAAACCAAAGGAGACACGTAAAATGGGACGGACGTAGTAGTATGATACAATATAAATTTAATAGAATGTACTAAAAAGAAAGATAGGATAATGAAGTGACAAAGCAAGTATTACTTATCTATAGTATGTTACCTTGCACAATGCTAGTTGATAGTGTAGTGTACTTCGTATTACTTCCTCTGTCCTTGAAAGAACTTCTAATTTTCCCTTTTCGTTCATCCAAAAAAGAACTTCACTTTCCCAATTTGGCAAAGAATTTGTGGTTCACGGCAATTCTTACACATTCTTACACATTCCTCTCTCATCTACACAACTCTTCACCACACAATACTCACTTTCTTAATTTGTGTGTCATTTGTACTATAGAAGAACTTTTAGGGACGCAGGGAGTACTTTTTGTTTTTTTGGATGAAATGTAAATATATATTAGCACCCAAAGAAAAACTATACATCCTAGATCTCCTAAAACCCTCCCCCCACCGAAGTGGGGTTGGGAGAAGATTTTGATTCGATCTAAGTCAAAAAACAAGCTAGGGCCAAAGTAAACAATATTAGGCCCCCAAACATCAAAAAGCTACCGGTGCTTAGGGTGCTACAAGATTGCACGCACAAAGATCATAGTTATGAGAACAATATACATGGCATATGATGTTGTTAGATGCACACATCTTTTTGTCCAAAAAATAAATCAATGTCGTGGCATTTGAAAGTATCCAAAAAAGGTCTTCAATCAGAATTTGATCAACTCATGCAGGTATATGTTGAATAAGATCTTATATACCACATGCTTGATTTTCGAGACGATCTCGTCTTCGCAGGGAGTACTTTTCGTTGTTGTTGTTGTTGTTAGGCTAAAGGGTCAAATAGGTACATGAACTAACTTAAATTGTTCAATTAGTCCCTTATATAGGAGGTTTTGCCCGGCCGTCGCCAATTGGGGCGGTTCCCGATGGAATTTTTTGATGAAAATTTTTTAGCATCTTCTTCATTAAGTCTAGTTTACTCATACCAAATTTCAGCTAAAAATTCAACGGGGAAGGCAGTCAAATGATTTTTTGAAGATAACTGCGCAGTTAAACAACGCAGTACATTTCGAAAAATCATTTGACTGCCTTCCCGATTTAATTTTTAGCTGAAATTTGATATGAGTAAACTAGACTTAATGAAGAAGATGCTCAAAAAAATTCATCAAAAAATTCAAACTGGAACCGCTCCAATTGGCGACGGCCGGGCAGAACCTCCTATATAAGGGGCTAATTGAACACTTTAAGTTAGTTCATGTATCTATTTGACCATTTAGCCTTGTTGTTATCATATTAGCATCATGCTCATCGTTACCACTCTTACTACTACTATTCCTTGGATTTAATTGCAGCTGTGTCTATCTCAAATTCTGACCACTGTTATAATTTAAACTTCCCTAATTTTCATCTTGTTAAGTTTCTGTTAACAATTGTAGAAACAATTCTCTCTGTTAATTTCCTAAAAAAGTGTATTAAACTGGACTACATTAATATTCTTGATGTTACTTTGTTACGTTATTACTTATTACTACTATTATAATTATATACTCCGTATATATTAGCTTGGGTAATGAGTGATTTTTCTGGCAGATGGAGTACCTGGACTTCCTCGCTAGAGAAGCTGGAGTGCCACCAGTTGATGGGGAGTTGAAAGAGATTTTTCACAACCTTTTTAAGTTTGCATATAAATTTGGACTAAATGCAGCAGCAAAAGATCTCTGGGATGTGAGTTGGAGACCAGAAGAATAGCACCATCTCTATATTATTACTTGGACATTAGTTGTGTTCAAAGACTTGCATTCATAAACTATTGTGTTTTTCGTACGTAGTATAATATTACTTCGATAACAAATAATTTAATAAAAACAATGCTAAAGGTTTTGACCGGACATTGATGTAAGAAAATAAGGATTGGTATTTTAGAAAATTGCTGTCTTGATTTTTACGATGTGTCAAATGAGACGACGATGCAAAATCTTACCCCAAAAATTTTTCCTAGTATTTGGATGGCTGCCCCCAATATGTATGCTTCTTTAAGTAAGACTAGATATATATAAACTTGAGGCAATCAAATAGTGAGATTATCTATTTTGAAATACGGAGTAAGATTTTTCATCTCATGTCAGAAGTGGCTTCTGTAAAAGATGTCCAGTATATTGCTTTTGATTTGCTTCCTCTTCAAGTTGACAATGCTCTATTTTCCCAAAATCAATGATTGTGCATGTTTGCTACCCGATTGGTATGTCCCACAAGATCACAGCTTTGACTGATTGGTGTAAACTATTATTATTATTATTATGGTTGTTGTTGTTGTAGTTGTTGTTTTACTATTATATAAACAACCATGCTAGGGGTATACAAGTTGTACACAATTTGTACAAAAAAATGTCGGTCACAGACAATTGATACGGAATTATCTGTGGGCACAGACAACACACATGCAACTTTTTTCTGTGTCCACAAACATTTACTTTTTTGTAAAAAGTACACTGACAGCAACTTGCAAATCAATCAATATATGTGCAGTGCATATGTGCACAGACAATATTTTCATGTTACACAGACAATTATTTGTCTGTGCGCACAGACAATATTTACCTCACAAACAATAGTTGTGCGTTGTACAGACAATAGTTGTCTGTGTGATCAACTTTAATTGTCGGTGTGATCAATTTCAATTATCTGGGTGAACGAACAATTTAATTATCTATATATATCCAAATGAATGAAAAATTGAAAAACAATTGATGAAATAAGTTGATTTTGTGCATATAATGAAAAACAATTGATATAAAAAGGTAGGTAAAGAAGAAAGAGGGGGGGGGGGGGAGAGAGAGAGGGAAAGAATGAAATGAATTCTTTTTTGCTTTTTTGGACCTTTTGAGGCCGTTTGGCAACCATGATTTTCGGCTTATCAGGCTTATCAGCCAACTTTTTCACCAAACACGTAAATTTTGCTTTCGCGCGCTGAATTATGTAATAAGCAGAAAAAGTAAGGTTAGAGTTACTTTTCTGGCTGTATTGGCTGAAGTTACTGTAGATGACAATTTTAGCTATTTTTACATATAATTTTTTCTTTATTTTATTAATAAAATATATTTTAAAAATATTTTTTTCTTATATTAGCAGAATCAGCCAATGCAGCCACTTCAGCCAGAATTTCATAAAATTCAGCAGAATCAGTCAAAACAGCCGATTTTCGTGCTACCAAACGGGCTCTTTATATGGTGTACATTTTGTGTACACCATGTCTACCTTTGTCATTTTCCTTATAATAATTGGACGAAGGAAGTACTATATTTTGACTAAATGATTGTTGGAGTATTATTATGTTTGAAACCAAAACAAAAACAAAACCAGGTTGTTTTAGTTCCAAATTAGAACTACACTCAATTTAAAAATTTGCCCCAACTTTTGATATGGAGCTGCCTACTTTGAGGACAATCCTATCTACTCCTTCCGTTCCGTTGGGATGTTCCCACTTTCCGTTTTTGGATGTCCCAAAAAGAAGTTCCTCTTTCTCTAAATGGAAAGTTATCCTACATCAAAACAGTGCAAAACAGTGTCAAACAATGCCAAACAGTGTCCAAATAGTAAAATTTACCCCCTGCTAAGCTTATTTCCTCAATATGTGTGTAGGTCAAACCGGGAACATCCCAACAGGACGGAGGGAGTACAAGGGAGAATCCCTCTCCCCAAAACTTTCCCGCTTCTCTTTCTTTATTTACTATCTTCTTTACTACGGAGTAGATCGATGGAGGGATAATAGTTGGTTATTTGTGCACTATTACCAATTTAAGGGTTGCAGTGACCTAAATCATATTCTTTTTTATCTCAAAACATAACTATATGAGAGGTAGTGCATGTTTATCCATTTCTATATCATTCTTGGTGGTTGTTTTTAAAAAACACCAAACTAGATTTTTTTTTAAAGGAACCAAACTAGATTCCTAATAATCGTGTTAGCATAGCTTATACACGACCACTAAAATAACATACTCTCTCTGGTTCTTAATTAAGTTCCTAGTCTGACTTCACACATATTAAGAAATAAATTTGACTTTAGTGTGGAGTGCACTGTTTGAACACTGTTTGTCACTGTTTGGCACTGTTTGACACTGTTTTAGGGTAAATCATTTGCCAAATAAGGAAAGGTTTGAAGTACGAACTTTAATATGGACCATCCCAAAAAGAAAAGTACGAACTTAATTACGGGACAGAGGGAGTATATTTGAGTGCTCATGTTTTAGAGCCCGTTTGATAGCATGAAAATCGGCTGATTTGTCTGATTCTGCTGAAATTTATGAAGTTATGGCTAAAGTGGCTGCATTGGCTGATTCTACTAATTTAAGAAAAACTTATGTTGAAAATAAATTTTATTAATAAAATAAAGAAAAAATTATGTGTAAAAATAGCTAAAATGATTATCTACAGTAACTTCAGCCAATACAGCCAGAAAAGTAACTACAACCTTACTTTTTCTGCTTATTACACAATTCAGTGCGCGAAAGAAAAAGTTACGTGTATGGTGAAAAAGTTGAAAGACTGATAAGCTAAAAAACAGTATTGTCAAACGGCCTCTTAAATATTAGGGGTGGGAAAAACCGACCTAAAACCCGATATCTGAACCGACCCAACCCGATATATGACAATGGTCCAGGTTTTATTTTAAAAAATGATCGGTCCGGGTTAAAATACCCGACCCGAACCCGAAAACTTGGGTCCTAATTCGGGTTCCAAAAGTTTAAGCCCGACCCGGACCGAAAAAACCCGATTTAATTAAGAAACTAAAAAATATATATTTTATATAAAATACGTATGGTATGACCTATTAATACATCATACCAATTTCTTACATATAATATGTATGAATTATTTTATACTACATCCGTCCTAAATTGATTTGCAAAATTGATTTTTTAGTCAAACTATTTCATTTTATTCATTTAATTAGGATGTCAATTTTTAATTTTATTTAATTTGGAGTTTGCAACTTTAAAGAGATTTTTACGTAGTTTTTGAATATGTAAATTTTAATTATTAAAAATTGAATTAAGTATCAATATGGAGGATTGAACTTTAACATTGGTTGACAAAAAAATCTTGACTTTGTAAATCAATTTGGGACGGAGGGAGTATTATTTTCTTTTGAACCAAATGTTCTTCTACAACGTTTTATATCGTGTGATTTTTAGTTTCAAAATTTACTGCATGCTTTGGTTTTTACTATGTATATTTTTTATTGGAAGTTTAAATATTTGCAATTTTTATTGTGATTGTATTTTAATTGTATATAGATATCTCAGTTCGATTTTTTCCCGGGTTCAACCCAACCCGACCCGAACCCAACCCGAACTCAAGGCTCTTAAAACCCGGACCAACCCCAAAGTATTGGTCCTTCGATCAGGCCCAAAAATGTAGAACCCAAAGCTTTTCGGGTTTTCAGCGGTCCTAACCAAAACCCAACCCGACCCGATCCCACCCCTACTCTTAATATGAACAGGCATAATATTAGACTGTGTTTGAATATTTGTCTATTAAGTATTGAGATGGTGAACTTTCCGGTATTTAGTTTTTTTGGTTGTGAATTATTCAAATCCTTAATTCTGATAACTGTATGGTCGTATAGTTCATATTTTCATGTTCATTACAACACACGACTTCATTTTAGATACAAACTTAAAATAACATAAATACTAAAATTTAAAGTCCCTGGAATTAGAAAATCTTAACCGCTTAAATACAAACTTCTATGGTAAAGCTGATCAGTCTTTTTAGTTGAATGTTTATCTTTACTTTAATTTAAGGTTTTATTTTTGTGAATAAAAATAAGTCAAAATATGATTTAATTTGTTTGTTTTTAACTTTGGTGTATGTAAAAATGGGCCAGCTTCTTTCTATGCTTCAATATTCACTGCTTCTGAATGCATTTTTGTTCATTTTTATTACTATTGTGTTCAGCCATGTTAGATTCTTATGTAGTATAGGTATAAAAATTAAGGTTCTATAAAAATTAATATAGGTAAAAATCTTAACTGCTTAAATACAAACTTCTATGGTAAAGCTGATTAGTCTTTTTAGTTACATGTTTATCTTTACTTTTTTTAAGGTTTTATTTTTGTGAATATAAATAAGTCAAAATATGATTTAATTTGTATGTTTTTAACTTTGGTGTGTGTAAAAATGGGCTCTTTTCTATGCTTCAATATTCATTGCTTCAGAATACATTTTTGTTCATTTTTATTACTATTGTGTTCAACCATGTTAGATTCATAGGTAGTATAGGTATAAAAATAATCACAAAAAGTTGGTTGATGAAATTCTTACATTTTAGCAGCCCCACCCTTGATTTGTGAACACATAGCGTCTTTTGTTCAATCGGTAATGATATATATATATGTACTAGTTTTTTGTTCGCGCTATGCGCGAAGGGTAAATGCCCAATATTATTTCGTAGATATAATAGAATGGAATGGTAGTTCGTGTAATAGAGTTGTATCACAAGGTGTCATTGTGATATATCTCACAAAGGGCCAAAAAAATCCATGGATAAAGCCATTCTTAAATGTAAATGCATCACAATTCACAATATCACATCTAATAATCACCCACCGCAACATGGGAGTATAACCTCACTCGGTAAAATTCCAAAGACCTGAAATAATAGATTAGAGTCAAATACAGGGGCAGACCGTAGTACAGACCCAGGGGGGCGGTTGCCCCCGCAACAAGAAAAAAATTTAGTGTATATATATACCAAAAGATAATTTTCGTCCTCCCCAAAAATATTTTGTTGAAGATACCGCCCTCCCAAGATAAACTTCCTGAGTCCGCCCCTGGTCAAATATAACTATATAAGAGAACTATTTTTAGTTGAGTCATGGAATGTAATACCCGTCATCATATAGCATAAGTCATAAAATATACTTGTACTACGTATGTAGTAAGCACTCCACATTCGTG